TAACTTATGGGTCGGAAACATGGACGTTACGAAAGACAGATGAAAACTCGTTAGTTGTCTTTGAAAGGAAAGTACTTAGGAAAATATATGGTCCATGTAAAGATGCCAATACTGGGGAATGGAGAATTCGAAAAAATAGGGAACTAAAAGAAGTGTATAAAAATCCGAATATAGTGAAAGACTAATCTGTGCAGGACACGCCTGGCGTAAGGAAGGATCGATGCTGAGAACAGTGATAGAAAGGATTCCACAAGGAAAAGGACCACTGGGACGCCCAAGATTAAGATGGGAAGACAGAATAAAAGAAGACGTAGAAAAAATAAAACCAGGAGAGAATTGGAAGGAATTATCGTTGGAAAGAGAAAACTTGAGGCAAATTTGTTGGGTGGTATGGCCTTAAAGGCCGAAAACCACGAAAAAGAAAGAAGAAGAAGCATTAATAAATATTAACTTAAATCATGTACCAATCAAGATCGCCGCAGTTTATTGTCCCCCTAAACACAAAATCACACCACCACAATACGAAACATTCTTTAATTCTCTCGGCCACTACTTTATCGTATGAGGTGACTTAAATGCAAAAAATCAAATTTGGGGCTGCCATTCCACAAACCCTAAAGGACACGCCTTACTTCAAATCATTAACTCAAACCACTACTCTACAATAATACCTTCCAACCCAAGCTACTGGCCAACATCCCCTAGAATACGTCCAGTCATCTTAGATAAATTTGTAATAAAAATCCCAAACAACATAAATCATCGATTTCAACATATACTAGACCCATGTTCTGACCACTCCCCAGTTCTTCTATCTATCGATGCACTACCTTCATACCAAAATACTAAACCCACTCTAATAAACGGCCTAATGAACTGGGACAAATTTCGTAAAACCATCGATCAAAAAATAAACCTAAACACTCGTTTATAATCACCAGATGACATCAAAGATGCGGTGTCACACTTCACTGAAAACATCCAATCTGCAGCATGAAACGCGTCGACTAAAACTCAAAAACACAGTTCTAACTCGCTCTTGATTGTTTGATACCCACTCGCATCTGTGAACTCATAGCGCACAAACGCCGTGCTAGATCCCGCTGGCAACGCACCACACTTCCCTCGGATAAAAATTATTACAACAACCTTACACAGACTCTTAAACGAAAATTATCTCAAATAAGAAATGACTCATATAGCAATTGGATCTCATCACTCACCTTAAAAGACGAATTGTTAGATTTTACCGGTATGTAAACAATTACAGAAGGAGAGAATCGATTTAAACAAAAACTGTAGAAATTGTTGAAAATATGGTAGAAGCAATAACACATATAAGGGAGGATACAGAAAATTAATTTAAATTAATTTTTGAAGAAGCACAGGTATTTTAAGTCTTTAAGATGATAGTAATAATAATAATATTCGTGAAATAATATTTATTTCTATAGAGATCAGGTTGGAAATACAATTACTCGTGAAAGAATTTAAACTAAGCTAACAAATCGAGCGAACCCTCAAAATATGACATCTGATGAACAGTACTTTAGAGTGATTATATTTTAACCTTTCTTGGACAATTTTATATCTGAAGTAAATGATCGTTTTTTAAACCATAAAAATGTTTTAAGGGGTATGTTAAAGATACTTTAAATTAATTAATTAATTTTACATTCAGTTAATAATTATAATTACTTTCCTGTTTCTAAATGTTATCTAATTTTCTTATAATTTAAATTGTTTGTTACTAGGTTTTGAATGCCTATTTCATTCAAAATGTTCTGACCAAGACAGGAATGAAATTAAACATTTGGTTGATTTATATTCCCCCGCAATTGATAAAAACATATTATTGCTGAACTCAAGATGTGGAAATTGAAATTGGCCTCTAGTGACTTATGCCTAACTAAAAATGGATTAGAAGCTTTAGATAATTGCGATGAAGAAGTATATACAAATATCCATTTTTTATTAAAAATATTTGTTAGTTTGCCTGTTTCAACACGTTTATATGCATTAGCACTGTTGTCAATTCATCGAGACATACGTTTATCAGTTGAAGAAGTTATAGATGAATTATCAAAAAAAGCAAGAAAATTAGATTTTGTATTGTAATAACAAATAAGTATTCGATTTTGGTTTAATTAAACATTTAATCTCAAGTAATGTGTTGTGTATTATAATTTTGGCAAACATAGAAAGTATATTTAATATTAATAAGCTTTTATAATTTCTGGAAACTTGGGGTGGTGAGAGGGCGTAACCCCCCTCAAGTTAATAATTACGGTAAAGTCATTCCTCCCCCCCCCCTCCCATGACAAAAACCTAAATACGCCACTGCTCGTATATCCGATACCTTTTTTTTTTTAAATATATATTTAAAATCTGTATCAAATGTTACAATAAGCAAATGTGATAAATACATTACGAATATTAAAATTACATGACATTATTTACATGAGGAGGGAGACTATTCATTGATAGAACCCTTCAGAGCCTGAATTAATTAATTAATTAAGGTTTCTAAATCATCGTCTTTTGAGGCGGCGTGCTGGGCTGTCGGGTAGTGTGTGAGATGAGTGGATTTGGATGGTGTCGTAGTTTCGCATGAAATTTAGTACAGATATTTTTGGATAGTTGGTCAACTGTATCAATTTTCAGGTCTTTATGTAGTGCTTTATTTTTTATATGCCAGAGTTAGGTGTTATTCGAATGAAATTTTATCTAGATAATTATTTAGATAAAATTTTATTCGAATAAATTATTATTCAAATGATTTTTTTGCAAATATTCGAGTAAAAATATATTCAACTAAATTTCAAAGACAATTATCCGAATAATTTAGTTTTAGTAAACACAGGGTTGGTAATTAAAAACAGACACATATTATAAAAAATAGTTGGCATTGTATTTTAAGTTACACGATTGGGAACATTTCTACTTTACCGGGCACCCTGTTTTTTTGTAATTTTTTTGGTGGACTTAGTCATTTTTTGGCTGAAAAAAACGTTGGTGAAATCAGAATTTGGCGCATGAAGTTATTTTGGTAGTTATAGCTAATTGAAGTTTTAACATTATATAATACCCCTTAAATACCTACAAGGCTGCTCAGTTTCTACTTATAACGATGGCGCAATGTTAACAACGCGCTCACACTACCTGCATACACGGGGTTCGACCCCCTCCGCGAGCGGAAAGTTTTTTGCACTTTTTTTAAAAAAAAACAACTAAAATTTTACAATTATTGTAATATAAAATTTTCCAAAAATTTTTTATACGATTTAAACAACTAAGGATTTAACTTAGAAAATTACGTTTACATCGTACAACGATGCCTCGCTAACGGCACTCGTCGCTACGCTCCTCGGCGCCGTCGCTCCGCTCCTCAAATCGAAAATATCCCTCGACTTGTTGTGTAAAACCACCTAAGGTGAACTTAGGGTTTGAGGTTTCAACAGTAAAAAATGCACTTTTGTTGCACCGGGTCACCGAGCGTAGTCATTCGTTCACTGCGCTCGCTCGTACAATTAAAAACTAGAACATTCCTCGATTAAACAACACGACCAAAGTATAAGTCACAAATTATTTATGTCGATGACGTAATTTGGATACTACCTATAGGCTATAGTGGATAATATATATTTTGACCAAAAAACCATTTAGATAATATTATAAGCAATTAACAAAATGATAAGCTAAAACCTACCTAAAAGCTTCAGTATTGCACATACATTACACAGTGTATTTGTCACGTTGCATTTTATTTGAACATTTATACAATTATTTTAAAAATGAGTACACCGCACCTAAATTTGTTCGATATAAAAGAATTGTCTTTGAAAAACGATGGATTGGGGCTGATAGAGATATTACAAAGTTTCGGTGCATTACCCACCGAACCAAAATGTGTAAGAAACCACGTAATGAAACTTACAAAAGACGATGCTTCAATAGACAAGTACAAATGGAAATGCCGAGAGAAACAAAATAAGAAAAATAAAAATTGTAACTACAGGTAAATTAAAACAATTATTAATTAAAATTAAATTAAGCTAAATAGGTACCTAGAAATTAGAATATCATTAAAATTAAATTAATATAAATTTAAAATAAAAAAATAATATAACAATATTATGTGTATAGCATGTCATTGAGAAAAAATACGTTTTTTGCCAAGTCCCACCTATCGTTGTTGGACATTTGTGGTTTCGTAAATTTGTGGGTTATGAACTGCTTATTTCCGGTGATCCAACAACAAATAAGGTTAGCTAACCAGACTATGGTTGACTGGGCTTCCTTTTGCCGTGAGGTGGTGTACGACAGTATGATTGTCAGGAAGGTGATGATTGGTGGACACGGACATACGGTTGAAATCGACGAATCAAAATTTGGCAAAAGAAAGTACCATCGAGGGCACCGAGTAGAAGGGCAATGGGTTTTCGGCGGTTACGAACGAGAGACAGGTAATTGTTTCATGGTGCCAGTTGAAAATCGTACCGCCGAAACACTATTAAAAATTATTAAGGACTGGGTGAAACCTGGAACCACAATAATTTCAGATTGTTGGAAGGTATTTTTAGTAAACTTGTAAAAATCAAAAACGTATAAACTTTTACTCGGCTTTTTTATTTTAGGCATACAATACTTTAAACAATGAGGGCTACGTTCACCTTACGGTGAATCACAG